TACATGTATGTATATTGAACAGCCATGGTGACATTACACATCCCTGTCTAAGACCTACTTTTACCGGGAAGTAATCTCCCTCTCTTTTACACACCCTAACCTGAGCCTCACTATCCTCATAAAAACTCTTTACAGCATTTAGTAACTTACCACCTATTCCATATACTTGCAACATCTGCCACATTGCTCCCCTATCCACTCTATCATATGCCTTTTCTAAATCCATAAATACAATGAAAACTTCCCTGCCTTTAGATAAATACTGTTCACATACATGCTTCAATGTAAACACTTGATCTACACATCCCCTATCCACTCTAAAGCCTCCTTGCTCATCCAAAATCCTACACTTGGTTTTGCCTGTAATTCTTTCAATAATGACCCTGCCGTACACTTTTCCTGGTATACACACTAAACTTATTCCCCTATAATTTTTACAATCTCTTTTGTCCCCCTTCCCTTTATATAAAGGAACTACACAAGCTCTCTGCCAATCCCTAGGTACCTTCCCCTCTTTCATACATTTATTAAATAAAAAATACCCACCACTCCAACACTACATCCCCCTCCTGCTTTAAACATTCCTGTCATGATCCCGTCAGTTCCAGCTGCTTTAACCCCTTTCATTCTATGTAATGCCTTGCACACCTCCCCTACACTCACATCCTGCACTTCTTCATTCCAAAAAGATGTTATACCTCCCTGACCAGTGCATGAAATTACCGCCTCCCTTTCATCATCGATATTTAAAAGTTCCTCAAAATATTCCCGCCATCTACTTAATACCTCCAGCTCCCCATCTACTAACTCCCTTACTTTGTTTTTAACTGACAAATCCATTTGTTCCCTAGGCTTTGTTAACTTGTTTATCTCACTCCAAAATTTTTTCTTATTTTCATCAAAATTTCTTGACAGTGCTTCTCCCACTCTAACATCTACTCTCCATTTGCACTCTCTCACCACTCTCTTCACCTTTCTTTTACTCTCCATATACTCTGCTCTTCTTATAACACTTCTGCTATGTAAAAACCTCTCATAAGCTACCTTTTTCTCTTTTATCACACCCTTTACTTCTTCATTCCACCAATCACTCCTCTTTCCTCCTGCACCTACCCTCCTATAGCCACAGTTTTCTGCCCTATATTCTAATACTGCATTTTTAAAACTATTTCAGCACCCCCCCTTCCATACTACTTGTACTTGCACTAGCCCACCTTTCTGCCAATAGTTGCTTATATCTCACCCTAACTTCCTCCTCCTTTAGTTTATACACTTTCACCTCTCTCTTACTTGTTGTTGCCATTTTCCATTTATCCCATCTACCTCTTTAACAACTAAATAATGATCAGACGTATCAGTTGCCCCTCTATAAACATGTACATCCTAAAGCCTACCCATCAACCTTTTATCCACCAGTACATAATCTAACAAACTACTTTCATTACATGCTATATCATACCTTGTATACTTATCCTCTTTTTCATAAAATATGTATTACTTATTACCAAACCTCTTTCTACACATAGCTCAATTAAAGGCTTCCCATTTTCATTTACCCCTGGCACCCCAGATTTACCTACTACTCTCTCCAGAACATTTTTACCCACGTTAGCATTGAAATCCCCAACTACAAGTACTCTCACACTTGGTTCAAAACTTCCCATGCACTCGGCATTTCCCAAAATCTTTCTCTCCTCTACACTTCTCTCTTCTCCAGGTGCATAAATGCTTACTATAACCCAGTTTTCACATCCAAATGTTATTTTACTCCACATAATCCCTGAATTTATACATTTATATTCCCTCTTTTTCCTGCCATAACATTATTGATACTCCTCCTTTAGCTCTAACTCTGTTTGAAACCCCTGACCTAATCCCATTTATTTCTGTAAAGTAAAAGGTCACAAGTGCCTTTTTATTTCTCTCCACTGAAACTCTCCCATCCCCTTCAGCTTTGTTTCACTTAAAGCCAGGACATCCAGCTTCTTCTCATTCATAACATCCACATTCATCTTTTTTTTTTTTTTTTTTCCCCAACAAGTCGGCCGTCTCCCACCGAGGCAGGGTGACCCAAAAAAGAAAGAAAATCCCCAAAAAGAAAATACTTTCATCATCATTCAACACTTTCACCACACTCACACATTATCACTGCTTTTGCAGAGGTGCTCAGAATACAACAGCTTAGAAGCATATACGTATAAAGATACACAACATATCCCTCCAAACTGCCAATATCCCAAACCCCTCCTTTAAAGTGCAGGCATTGTACTTCCCATTTCCAGGACTCGAGTCCGACTATATGAACATAACCGGTTTCCCTGAATCCCTTCACTAAATATTACCCTGCTCACACTCCAGCAGATCGTCAGGTCCCAAGTATCATTCGCCTCCATTCACTCCTATCTAACACGCTCATGCACGCTTGCTGGAAGTCCAAGCCCCTCGCCCACAAAACCTCCTTTACCCCCTCTTTCCAACCCTTTCGAGGATGACCCCTACCCCTCCTTCCTTTCCCTATAGATTTATATGCTTTCCATGTCATTCTACTTAGACCCATTCTCTCTAAATGACCAAACCACCTCAACAACCCCTCTTCTGCCCTCTGACTAATGCTTTTATTAACTCCACACCTTCTCCTAATTTCCACACTCCGAATTTTCTGCATAATATTTACACCACACATTGCCCTTAGTCAGGACATCTCCACTGCCTCCAACCGTCTCCTCGCTGCTGCATTTACCACCCAAGCTTCACATCCATATAAGAGTGTTGGTACTACTATACTTTCATACATTCCCTTCTTTGCCTCCATAGATAACGTTTTTTGACTCCACATATACCTCAACGCACCACTCACCTTTTTTCCCTCATCAATTCTATGATTAACCTCATCCTTCATAAATCCATCCGCCGACACGTCAACTCCCAAGTATCTGAAAACATTCACTTCTTCCATACTCCTCCTCCCCAATTTGATATCCAATTTTTCTTTATCTAAATCATTTGATACCCTCATCACCTTACTCTTTTCTATGTTCACTTTCAACTTTCTACCTTTACACACATTCTCAAACTCATCCACTAACCTTTGCAATTTTTCTTTAGAATCTCCCATAAGCACAGTATCATCAGCAAAAAGTAACTGTGTCAATTCCCATTTTGAATTTGATTCCCCATAATTTAATCCCACCCCTCTCCCAAACACCCTAGCATTTACTTCTTTTACAACCCCATCTATAAATATATTAAACAACCATGGTGACATTACACATCCCTGTCTAAGACCTACTTTTACCGGGAAGTATTCTCCCTCTCTTCTACACACCCTAACCTGAGCCTCACTATCCTCATAAAAGCTCTTTACAGCATTTAGTAACTTACCACCTATTCCATATACTTGCAACATCTGCCACATTGCTCCTCTATCCACTCTATCATATGCCTTTTCTAAATCCATAAATGCAATAAAAACTTCCCTACCTTTATCTAAATACTGTTCACATATATGCTTCAATGTAAACACTTGATCTACACATCCCCTACCCACTCTGAAGCCTCCCTGCTCATCTGCAATCCTACATTCTGTCTTACCTCTAATTCTTTCAATTATAACCCTACCGTATACTTTTCCTGGTATACTCAGTAAACTTATTCCTCTATAATTTTTACAATCTCTTTTGTTCCCTTTCCCTTTATATAAAGGGACTATACATGCTCTCTGCCAATCCCTAGGTACCTTCCCCTCTTTCATACATTTATTAAACAAAAGTACCAACCACTCCAACACTATATCCCCCCCTGCTTTTAACATTTCTGTCATGATCCCATCAGTTCCAGCTGCTTTACCCCCTTTCATTCTACGTAATGCCTCACGTACCTCCACAACAGTGCCTCTCCCACTCTTTCATCTGCTCTCCTTTTGCACTCTCTCACCACTCTCTTCACCTTTCTTTTACTCTCCATATACCCTGCTCTTCTTATAACACTTCTGCTTTGTAAAAACCTCTCGTAAGCTACCTTTTTCTCTTTTATCACACCCTTTACTTCATCATTCCACCAGTCACTCCTCTTTCCTCCTGCCTCCACCCTCCTATAACCACAAACTTCTGCCCCACATTCTAATACTGCATTTTTAAAACTATTCCAACGCTCTTCAACCCCCCCACTACTCATCTTTGCACTAGCCCACCTTTCTGCCAATAGTCGCTTATATCTCGCCCGAACTTCCTCCTCCCTTAGTTTATACACTTTCACCTCCCTCTTACTTGTTGTTGCCACCTTCCTCTTTTCCCATCTACCTCTTACTCTAACTGTAGCTACAACTAAATAATGATCCGATATATCAGTTGCCCCTCTATAAACATGTACATCCTGGAGCCTACCCATCAACCTTTTATCCACCAATACATAATCTAACAGACTACTTTCATTATGTGCTATGCATAATTTTTATGCATTCACCTATGCCATTTTTGGCTGTGGATTGACTGTTTATGTTGTCTAGCACTTATTTTCACAAAGGAAAAAGTATAGACCCATATGGACCCAAGAATCTCCTTTGAGTGGCTCTACTCATTACATTCCTCCACTTTGGCACTTCATTTAAAATTGCTTGCTGTTTCTTGTCAGTGAGCCAGTCATTGATTCAGTCCTGAAGATTATCCCTGTGCCATGAGCCTTTTGTGTACTAAGAAATACGTGAATTGTGGATACTGTTTTTTTTTTTATATCTATAGTGTGATAGCATATTAGTCCATGATATCAAGAAGTTGGCATTCATAATAGCAAACTTAGTACATGTAATGATAACAGTGAATTTAAAACTTCTGTTTTTTTTTTTTTGTTGAATGACTGAATTTTTTTAGTGCTTTTGAAATCTCACAAATTAAATTATCATGTATCTTTCCTGCTGGATAGATAAGCATTCCACAATATTTGCATGAATCCTATACATGTATTCCCTTATAATTATACATACATACTCTATACACAATTTACAGTAGGCCAATCAGCAAGGCAGAGAAGGAGATTGAGAACTCAAGAAGGTCATCTCCAATCAAGCATGTTAGCAAGTCCTCCCGTGAACGTCCCAGTACTGCACCGCCCAAGCCCAAACCTGCTGCTGTGCACGTGAGTAAATTGCCATGATACTTCTCGTGTTGGAACCTCGGCTTACGAGTTTAATCCATTCCGTGACCTTGCTCATATTCTAATTTGCTCGTATGTTGTCAAATTTTCTCATTTAAATTAATTGAAATGGCATTAATCCGTTCCAGAGGAATTCCAGGAAACACAATGCTTCAGTATTTCGCTAATATCAACTCTGCGGCTTATTTATCTATCACAATTCATCTAATATGACATAATAAACAATATTAATAACATAGAAACATGATATACACACTAGAATGAATAAAATACTATGTCATTACATATGTGGCTAGCGGTGGTGGCCACCACAGCGGCCATCCTGCTCCTGACTACATACCTTCCCATGCTCTTATTATAACAGAAAACAGAGTGTTTGTGAGGCAAACTGCATTAGATCACTACTTAGTTTCATAAGGAAAACATTGTAAAGAAATTATGTTGTACGTACTATAGCATTTACCTTGGAGAAGAATTGCTGGAGGTTGATGGAGAAGAGATGCTGGGCACAGTATCTGACTTACTGACTTATTGGATAACTGAATGACTTATTGACTTTACTAACTGAATGACGACTGAATGACTTAACTGACTGACTGACTTAATGACTTGACAGACTGATTGATTTACTGACTTAACTGAATGACTGGCTGACTTACAGACTTGACTGGCTGACTGACTAACTTGACTGACTTGCTGAATGACTTAGACTTTTTCACTGAAGAGGATGCTGAAACAGTGTCTAGAGCAGCTGATGACTTACTGTCAGTTGTATAATGTACTGCAGGGTAAAATAGAACAGAAATCCATTAAAGAATTTATGCACACTCCAGTACAGCCATCAACTTCAGTACCAGAACCTCTACCATCCACCTCAGCCCAGTAGGGCCACAGCATAACTCTCCACTCTCTTGACAATCATCAAGAAACACCAGTACCCACAATTTAAGGTAAGAAATGCTATTATTTCTGTTGCAGTTATAGTCTTAAGCAGTAAAAACAACATAATACATCACAATGAACTACAATTATATATTCGCTTTTTTTTTTTTTGTAAGATCTGGAGGTCTAAAAAAGTTGTTTGAGGGGGAAGCTCACATCCTGAATTTTTTGCTTGTATCCAGAAACAAAAAATCGACCGAGCAACTGCTCGTATCCTGAAAAATTTGTATGGTGGGGCACTCGTAAGCCGAGGTTCCACTGTATAAGTTGATGAAAAGGGGGGAAGGAGCATTTTAAATTGAAACATTGGCAGTCAAAAAATGGAATCCCAGATGTATGTGTCTTGACCTAACCTGCAGACTGTAAAAGAATAAGATTAATTTTCGAATAGCAAAAAGATCTGTACAAAATTGCTCCCAAAGTGAAAGTGGAAAAGTTTTAAAAGCAGAAGTTTCATGCAGTTTAAAAAATGAAAAGGAAAAGAATGCCTTTTCTTAGGTTGGGAGAAAGTATTTTTTGGAAGTTTAAGGTAGGAAATGAGAAAGCATTAAGAGAAATTGATGTATTGAATAAATGATATTAAGAGTAAGTAATCTGTACAGCATTGTAAATCTGCACCCCTGTATTCACTCTCATAACTCTGCTGCATGAGTAGGTTACCTCGTGTGAAAAGTACCCCCAGATGTGCCTGCTATATTTAAAAAAAAAAAAAAATAGAAAATTATGTTGCATTTAAATTGATAGTCTTAGTTTGGCTATCAATAAATTGTAACAACCACAACATGAGCTGGGAATGTGAATATGCATGAAAATAAAGGATCATGTTATCACAATTATTTAAATAGGAATAGGGAAAACGTGACAAAAGTCTAGGAAAGCAGAAAGTGGATGCAAAAATAGTATTCATGGAAAAGATTATGCTGAGGTGGACTGACTGTAGATCAAGAAATGGTGTTGCTGGTAAAGTGTAGCTCAAAAATAAATAATTGAACTCTGATTTAAGAAAGTGTGCCCCCATTGTCCCCCATGGTAGTTATTTCACTGGAAATTGAGGTTAACTTTTATTTAACTGGATAGCAAGTAAAATAGTGTATTAAATAAAAGTGGGATCCTAGAAATGGGTTATAATTTGTTTAAGATAGGTGAGGTGGTGAGGCATATATGGAAAGAAAGATATTCATCAGTGAAGGCAAGGTGACTGTATCAGAGTAGTCATACCAGTCATTGTCATGAAGCTGTGAGGCTGGTATGGATTACAGTTATTCTAAGATTTGACCCTTCTTGCAGAGGGCTTGCTGTCTTACTTCTTGGGGACCTCCCTTCCTGCCTTTATTATTTATTTCCTTCCTTATTTCTACATTGTTTTTCTTTTTCATGTTGACTCCCTTCAAAGTGCAATTTATGTTTTGGATTACTCATTCCCTCTTATCAAAATGTTCAGATTCCTAGGTGCTGCTTTCAGACATAGATTCAATAGTAACAAGAGTTTCGGAGACATGGCTTCTTCCTCATCACTTCCTAGTTGTGAGGGGATATATGATTTAGATGGCAGACCAGGAGGATTGAGGGAGTAGGGGCCTTGTCATCCTTTTGCCGTTAGACTTTCTCTACTGGCAGTGCCTGAGAGAACTATTAGAATTACTCGCACTGTACATATGCACACACATTTAGATTGAAGAGAGTTGAGAAAAGCGGTTTTTAATGGTTGATGCACTGTTGGAGTATGAGCAAGGTAACATTTATGAAGAGATTCAGGAAAACTAGTTAACCAGACATTATGCCTGGAGGTGGGAAGAAGAGGGAATGTTGCTGTTTGGAGAGTCATCTGAATTGTGATGTTGCACATTTCTGGCAAGATAGCTATTGAATGTGTGATGATGAATGTGTTGATTTTTTTTTTTTTTGGGGGGGGGGGGAGGCAGCCAGTGTGGTAAAAATAATATGGTTGATAAAACCTTTCATATTTTACCAAAATCTTTCCAGACACAAAAACCTTCAGACAAGACAGAGGGAAAGACTTCCAAGGAATCAACACCACGTCACCACTATGAGAGAACTACAGGGACTACAGGTGGGACATTGAAAAGTGGTAAAAATGAAATCATCTATCAAGATTTAAATATACTTTGGTTTTCTGTTTCTTCTCACATTCCTCACAGTGTTACTGAGCATTTTTTCTTCTTTTTTTAGTTTGATAGGTCTTTATGATGGTCCTAAATTCTTGTTTGTTTATTTTATACCATTTTTTCCTATTATTAACAATAAATATGGAAGCAGAGTTATGTAGACTAAACAAATGTAAATATGAAATAGGTGTATGTTCCTTGAGGTTGGCAAGCCCCGTAGTTATAGCATGGTGTGCATGGTACGTTCTAAAATGTCCCTTTTTTCACCATCAGAATGTAGGTAGAACTATGTGGGAGTGCAAATCATTAATGTATATTAAATAATAATAGTTTCTCAAAATATGCAGAAATTTACAGACCCCCACATATTTCTGCCTCATACCCAAAACTCGTTTTCTGTTATACTTGCCTTGTGTTAGTTGACCGTTTTCTGTGTTGTGGTCTCAGAGGAGGGTCTTTTGATCACTTCGCCATCACGTGACAAGCTTGAACCATTCATCCCCGATGATTGGTCCTCCCGCCGTTCATCACGAAGGACTCCTCCAATTACAAGCCCTATGAAAGGTAGTGCCATGTTTCACTGAATGTATCAGTCCATTCAGATTTTAGGCATTTTATTATTTTTTCATTGCTTAATATGGTTCACAAATTGTATTTGCATCATTATTTGGGAATTTTGAAGCTTAATTATGTATATAATGGAAGTCACAATACGAGTAACTGTAGTTACATCAATATGGTATCTCCCAGTAATCGCAAGGTAAGTGAATTAGTGTGGTATATACAAATTATTATGGTATATACAGTATCAAGCAATTGTAGCTCTTGTGTGTATTTAAAATAATGAATGCGTGTACAGTGCTAGAGTATTTCACAGCCCTTGTGTTGTGTGTGGCATTCTCTGCTTCCATAAAGTTGGAATGCTTTGTAATTGCATTAAGGCTATGAATAAGCTTATTGTGAATGATTAGAATATTGATTATTGTATATCTATTTCAGGTGTACTTGATGCTAATTGAATATTGCAATGTGGAGCATTGTTGAGCTTAGTGATATATGGGCCAAGCAGGAGAGCGCCAAACAGCGTGTCGGCTCACTGTTTTGTCTTGGTATAGCTTGTAGCATGATATGAATGTTGCAGATCTCTTCCAGGCAGTGCACACTCACAGGGATATATATAGAGAAGCAAAATTAAGAAAATTATTTCTGTACTATAAATTAAGACTTAAGTGGTTTAATTATGAAATTATGAAGAAAATACAATTAAATAGTTTTCAATAAGTTGGCAAGTTCTGATTTTAAAATAAAAAAAGGTTTTTACTTAATCACGTTGCAGCATTTTACCACATTATTTTTGCAGGTATTGTAATTATCCTGGATTTTTATAGTTTTAATGAAACTTCATAGTTGTCTCATAAATATAATTAAAATAACTTGTAGATTTTAGGATGTACATATTGAAGCCTAGATAACTATAAGTTTAGTAGCAGTTAATTATTAATTGCTAGTAATTTTTCTACATCAAGAAGGCCTGTGTGTTGCAGAGAAACACAAGCTTTCTTAGAGATAATGAAGCAACATGTTTCCTTTGGAATTCTGATCCCACCTTACTCCATATTACCTCAGTTCTAATCTTTAAGATTACCAAGTATAGGTGTTTATATAGATAATGAAGTTTTGCAACAGTAAAAAGCTTATTTTTTTAAGATCCTGCATCTTTTTGGACTTGAAATATTTTAAATAATTAAAAATTATTTTAATTTTTTTTTTAAACATATTAGGGAATTCTAAACAGTTGCCATATGCTAGATAATTATTAGTTGTATACAACAGCATTGTCACACTACATGGAATGCTACGGTAACCTGTATAAGGCAGTCTTTCCTTCGAGTGTCTCCTGTCCCACCTCTTGCACCGCCTGGTAGAGAAACCTTTGCCTTGCATGTCCCGCCCCTGTGTTTCAGATGACTCCAGCAGACGAAGGTCGTACCGAGCCTCCTCCGCTGCAAGGCCTCCCCCCACCAAGGACTGTAGGTCCTCTGTAGGTATGACCCTGGCACCCTCTTTCCTCATAGAAGGCTATATGATATAGATTTCATTAAACAAGAGATGGGAGACTATTAGTGTTTTAAATACATAATATACAGTATTTGACACATTATGTTATACTGTAATTAAAGTATTGTTTTTAAACCCATCAGGATATTTTTACTAAAGATTCAGTTCATTTTCTTGAGCCCTTGAGTGTGTAGCTTGCTGTCTTATGAACAGCAATTAATAATTTTGATTACAATGAGATGCACATATGCCTCCTTAGCTAAGTACTAGCTGGAGGTCTAGTAGTAAGTTGAAATGAGCTGGACTTCTAAGAACCTACTGAAGTCCAGACATTAAATCCCTCACCAGCATTGACCCTAATGAATTTGCTCAACAAAAAATAATCTATACCCTAAAAGTAAGCTGTGGTTAAATTTCAGGCCTGGATTTGAGCTGGTCTCTGAAATGTCACAGTAAAAATATGTTCCTCGAGATCCTGATAACCATATTAAGGCTATCTTGTTTATCTGTTGAAACAGTGAAGAGATAAATTTATTTTGCAGAAGTTATTAATAAATTGTGCCACAGTAGGTCCCAAACTTGCAGTGTTAATTTATTTCTGAAAATTTTTCATAAATCTGCTATTTGGAACCTGTTACCATAGACACTCGTGTTATTGGAGTTTCCTAAGCCATAATTTCATTTAATTCCATTTTTTTTTATGAAGGTTATTTACCCAGAAGTTTGTATTCAGCAATGTTCTATTCACTTACAAGAAGTAAAAAAAAAAAATTAAATACTGTATATATGACAGTTAAATGGTATAGTATACTACCTTGAATGTTGATTCTATCTTACTTATAGAAAATGATGTTTCCTGCTTATTTTAGGATGATTTAATTATGAGATGAAGTAGTAGTGAGTGATAAAATTGGTTGAGAAGAATTGGGCATTTCTCAAGAGTTGTGGCAGGAATTTTCTGAGGAGGTAGAGCACCAGGGGATTTCTGAGGAATTTTAGCACTTTTGGAAAATGATGTTGCAGGGTATTTCCTCAGAAAATATCTATAGTATTTTTTTTTTTTCTTAATAAAGGTCTCTCCATAACACACAAGAATACGATTAACTATTCTAGAGAAATTGGAAAATCTTATGTTGATCTCATGCTCCTCAAATACTGATAATCATTTTTAAGTCAGTTGGAATCACCTCAGCCATTCTCTTGCTATTAAGTTCTTTCCTGAAAGTGGTCTAACAGACAAGGCTTCAGCGTCTTTCTTTTAGTGAAACCATTTCTTGTTTTCAGTTCAATGAGTTCATCAATGGTATGAGAGTCTAACAACTCCACATCTGTTGCTTCAATATTAATGTAAAGGTCACTTGCAATGTCCATTATGTTGTCAGCCACTTCCTTCATGTGCTTATCTGACCCATTAAAGTCATTTACAAAGTGAGGTCAATTTCTTTCAAACACCATTCATGTTTTACTCTTTAACTTAATTCCAAGTTTTCTCAATGTTCATAATGCTGAATAAATGTTAACTCCTTTCACTGTCCAGACCCCCAGTCTGAAACTTGTCACAGTGTGTAAGAATTTTCCAAAAAAATATTTTTATTTTTTCTTATGAAATGGTAGAGAATCTTTTTCTGAAGGTAATAAAACAAAAAGTATGAAATTTGATTGAAAATTGATGAAATTATACTTTTGTGAATTTTACTGTGTTGGCGATACTTATGCATCGGCGATTTTGTCCACTTAGATTGTTCACTTAGATGCATTAATGAAAATGTGTATATTAACGTAATATACGACATTTAAATGACACATTGATTATTATTATCATTACTAATATGACGTCTGATTTTAATGTGTACCTGCACACCAGCACAGTGTGTAAGTTTATTTAGGTACAGGTATACAGAAGTATAATTATCAGAGTATATATAAAATATGAAATAACTTTTAAAAACACTTGAAATTTTGGAGTTTCCAGACATAATGGAGAGACTTAGGGCTTATGGATCTCACAGAGAATGTAAACAAACCGGGTGGGGCGCGGTGACTGTATTAGAAAGTCAGGTGGGGGGAGCCGTATTGCGAGTTTTGATCATAATTTGAAATGACCATATTAGCGGAACGCCGTAAAGCAGGGCCCTACTGTATTTATTAGTTACATTTCCAGGCTTTACACATGGATTCCATTTTGATTTTTTATTCACACAAATTTTTTTTCATACAAAAAATAGAAGATTTACTGTTATGCAATATTGTAATAATTGTATAAATAATATCAGCACATTCTTTTCTTTCTTTCAACACACCGGTCATATCCCACCAAGGCAGGGTGGTCCAAAAAGAAAAACAAAAGTTTCTCTTTTTAAATTTAGTAGTAATTTATACAGGTGAAGGGGTTACTAGCCCCTTGCTCCTGCCATCTTAGTCACCTCTTACAACATGCATGGATCAGCACATTCATGAATGCATATTAAACTCACTAGTTAACATGTATTGGACATGTGACATGATTTGTTTACTCTTGAACATCGGAAAAAATTTAACATTTCTGCTACTTTGAGCTCGATTTCATGGTGCACACTAACTTCATCAACCCGTTCTTTCATATCTAGGCCCAGATTTACTGCTCACAGCTTATCTGAGTGAGCAAGCTTATCACGTAGTACTATAGCACGGCCAATGAACTCAAAGGCGTAGTATTATGGCACAATCAGCAAAAGGTTTAAACCCCTTTCCAGAATTCCTTGAAGTTAATACCATCTGTTGACCTAAGTGCCTGGGTATGTGTGCACCTTCTGAGAATAATAGATCTTCAGTGCCCTTATCACAACTTGGATCACTGGTTGCAATATAGAGGTTGTATTTAGTGGCAGGAATGCAATCTTGGCATCAGGAACCAAATCCTCTAGATAAGCTGGTGCATTATTGTAAGTAAAATATTAAGGGCAAACATTATGTGGAACAATAAAGTTGAACATCTTTTATGAAATTTTAACAAAACCACTCCTTAAAACATTTCTGGATTACCCAGAAAGTGGCAATAGACATCTATACAACAGCCAGACAAGCTTTGGTGATACCTTTCAGTGGCTTAGGGTTCTGTGAATGATACATTAGCAGAGGTTGAATTTTAAAATCCTCAGTGGAATTTTCTCCAGCTAAAAGAGAAACTATATTTTTTCCCTGCTTTAAATAAAGGCATACTGTGTCCTGTCGGGCATTTTGTTTCCATAAAATTTCAATCTTGTGTAAATTAACCATTTTATAATCACTTATGAGCTTTATTAATGCTGGCAAACACTTTCATAAATGCCTTGGCTGCTTTAACATAGGCACTAGCTAGTAGCTTCACTACTCATTTTAACATTATACAAATTTACTACTGTCAGTGCTGGGCTGCAGTGAATTCAGGTTCATCACTGGCACCACTACCCTCACCTATTTCTTCAAATCATCATAGTTTTTTTTTTTCTGCATTGGCATAAGGCTGAGAGACATTCTCTTCTGACACTGGTCTTCTAGCTACACCATCAGTGTTTTTAGTCTTACTGAAAGGACAGTGGATTTCTTGCACACAATAGTGGAGTGCATCAGTATCTTTTATGAAGGGGATTTTGGGTAACTGGTTAGCCAGTCTTGAGTCTTGGAGGTGAAAAGTACAGTGCCTGCACTCTGAAGGAAGGGTAGGGATGTTGCATTTTGGAGGGTTATTTAAATTGTGATGTCTATGCATTTCTGTCAGGATGCATGGACTAATGCCCTGCACACTTACTCTACCTTGGTGGGAGGTGTGTTAAATGTTAAGAACAATGGTAGAGCAGTTTACACTGCATACATGCAGGCAATGGTTTTCACCATCTCATTCTTATTGCTTCATTTTATTAAATCCAATGTCATGTCAAAGCTCAAGTTTTCTTTTTCCATGGCTCTTTGATATCACTACTACCACTCTTCCACAGTTTTCATTCTTGATGCATGGTTATTTTCCCTAAATATGCTTCTATAAAAAGCTAATGCGACAAGACATGAGTGAACTGTGTGTTACAGCAGTGTTTGCTGACAGCAGCAGCAGAATTTTCCTCTACCTCACCCTTTTTCAGCTATAAGTAGTACGGTATATTGAAAATTTTTCTCTTTGTAAATTATTAATAGGTTACAAAGTGCCAGTGTTACAAAAGAGGAACATTGTAAGTTTGGGACCTAATGTATATGGCAGTCAGAGTTTGCCTTTAGTTTAGCATCTCTACATTTTGCCAGTTTTGAGTATGATCAGTCTCCTATCCACAATCTTTAAGGTAGGGTATGATTAAGAACTTTTATTTCAAAGCATGGCTCTTCAGCTAGTGTATATTTTAAACATTTCTTGTCTTGATCCTAGCCATTTTTAAATATACAAATTGATATATATTTTTTTCAACAAATCAGCCATCTCCCACCGAGGCAGGGTGACCCAAAAAGAAAGAAAATCCCCCAAAAGAAAATACTTTCATCATCATTCAACACTTTCACCTCACTCATACATAATTAGTGTGTTTGCAGAGGCACTCAGATATGACAGTTGAGAAGCATATTTAAAGAAATGCATAATACATAGAACATAATCCCTCCAGACTGCCAATATCCCAAACCCCTCCTTTAAAGTGCAGGCATTGTACGTACTTCCCATTTGCAGGACTCAAGTCTGGCTAACGGGTTTCCTCGAATCCCTTCACTAAATATTACCCTGCTCACACTCCAACAGATCGTCAGGTCCCAAATACCATTTGTCTCCATTCACTCCTATCTAACACGCTCACGCACGCTTGCTGGAAGTCCAAGCCCCTCGCCCACAAAACCTCCTTTACCCCCTCTCTCCAACCCTTTCGAGGATGATCCCTACCCCACCTTCCTTCCCCTATAGATTTATATGCTTTCCATGTCATTCTACTTTGATCCATTCTCTCTAAATGACCAAACCACCTCAACAACCCCTCTTCTGCCCTCTGACTGATAC